TCCTTAGGGGAAGAAAATTGGGGGAATCCCCAGGTGAGGAGAGAAAAGTCCAGAGAGAAGGAGTTGGAAGCAGCAGATTGGGGGAGGCCTCTTAGCCCCAGATCTGGACTGTGCTTCTAACTGAGGAGGTCTTTTCTTTGGGCCTCCTTTCCTCCCTTGTCAAAAGGGTTAAGAGTTGCAAGATAAGAGAGATCAAATGGCTGGCAGCTAACACAGATGTTTGTCTCCTTCCCAGGCCTTAGTGGACCTCACAGTTTTGCTGAGTGTACCCCAGTCTGCAGGCACAGCCCCCTCTCCCCACCCCACTCGCTCTCCTTTGGCCAGCCAAGGCCCCCAGACAGTGACTCTTTGAATAGTTCCATGAAAGGACAGTTTGTCCTGGCTGCTGGACATTGTCCTTGGCATTGCTGGACAAGGGCCCCCCAGAACCAACTCCTCTCACTGCCTCCTTCCATACAGCTCTCTCTGCACCCCTTGTGTATGAAAGGAGGATAAGTGAGGTGGCAGCTGCTCCCTGACCCCACAGGCCACATTCTCACTCCATTCTGTTTCTGGAACCCCAACATGGAAGTCTCTCAGCCCACTCGAGCCACACGGTTTTCCCCTTCTCCAGCACCCAGGATCCTTAGCATGAGCACCACACAGCTTTCCATCTGATTGCACTCAATTCTCTATTCTTAGGTTGCTTGTGCTGACTTTGCCGTAAGGGCAGGGAGCAGGGCTTCACATTTTCTTGGATTCTCATGGAACACCTGGCATGGGGCTGGTCACATGGTGTTCACCGTACATCTGTGGAACTGAGGTGATTCTTTCATGTATTCAACAGACACCTACACCTGACAGGGCTCTTAGCCATTAGGCATTAGAGGCACTAAGGAGAGACCTTTCCAACACCTGGGAAAAGCTCGGCGATTCCTCTCAAGCAGTGTCGGCTCTGCAAGTATCACTGCCAATGGGAGCAAAGCAACCACAGCAAAATAACACGTGATGGAGACAGCAGGGGGCGAAGAAAGGTCTTTGGAGACAACTGGATTCAAACCCGGCTCTAACTACATAACTTCAGGCATATGACATGTTTTCTGCCTCAGTTTCCCTCACCTATAAAATGGGAATAAAAGTACCCATCTCATTGTGAGGACCGGAGGAGACAAGTGTGCCTGACTGCTAGCACAGCGCCTGGCCCATGGTAAAAGGTCAGTATGTGGGTACCGGAGAAAATGATAATAGTCACGAACTTAAAGAGTATAACCTGGAGTGAGGCTGGCAAGTGGCATTTTCTGCAGTGCCAGGAGCTGTTAGAAGAAGTGTCTTGCCAATGGGCTTCAGCCCCAGACAAGTTCACCATGGATTCAATGAGCCTGAGGAACGACAGCAGAACGTTCTTGGGGTGAAAGGCTTTATACCAAACTTTACTCCCACGGTGACAGGTCAATCACTAGAATCCCATCCACTCAGAGGGAGTCTGCATGCAGCAAGCTGGTCTCTGCCTCTGGGCCTCTCTGCCCCTGCAGTCGTCTCAGTCTCTGTCCTCTGCGCTGCTACCACTCCAGTTTCATCTCTGCTCTCCTGCAGCCAAGCCACTGTGTCGCCCAGAGCACTGGGTGGAGCTCTTTATACAGAATCAGTAACAATGTATTGCTCACACCTGTGTAGTGAGCTAGCCGACCCAGGCCAGGTGAGAATTCTGACCACAGGAACCTTCACTTTATGCACAAAATGTTGAAGACCAGGGCAAGAAAGAAGCATTTATGAGGAAGCCCCAAGCCACAGTCAGTCCTATTTAGAATTAGTTACCTACATACAAAGCACTATCAGGGCCCCAAAGCCACATCACTTTCTAGCAGGACTATTCATGAGGGCATGGAGGCTGGTACAAATATAAAAGAATAAGGCCTTTCTATTCTCCAGTTGTGGTACAACAGAGGGACAGAGCTTTGGAAACCACGGAGTAGAAAGGGCACTGGTGAGGGAGACAGAAGACTAGGCCTCAGGCCACCGTCTACTATGTAACCCCAGGCAAGCTCCGAACCATTCTAGATTGTCTCCCCACAAGCCACTCTCCTTCCCTCCACCCCTAATGCTCCACCACAGGGGAGGTTTGGAGGAAGGATAGCTGAGGTGTTCTGAAAACTAACATACTGGCCAAATGTGAAGTGGCACTATTCCTAGCTCTTGGGACAGGCACTCTCCATTTGCCCAGCCCTGCCCCTCGCTACCAAGCCCCTCTACACGCTCACCATCTTCAAGACTTGGTCAGTCTCTCCTTCCCATGAGCCTCTGAGGGGCCACCCAGAGCTGTGTTTCCACCCATGGCCACACTGTGGTGATGATTTGATGATCTGGGCAGGTTCAGCATCTAATTCTCCTCTCCGTTCCTGGAGCCCAGGGCCTGGCCCTGAGTCAACACCTTGGCAGTTTGAATAAACAAACAGGCTCTCCCAACTGCCTCAGGATGTAATAACCCCTCCAGCTCCTGACTGCAGCGTGCACTATTTCATTTCTTATTTCATGCAACATGTTCATATTGTGCTTAGCTAACATTTAACTTGGCGGACTGGTCTCATCAGCTCCCAGGGCTGCATCTCAGCACCCCCACAGCACCTGCCCCTGGGGAACACTCAGTAAGCATTTGCAGCCAGACAGTTCTTGGGTCTCAGCTGCCTGGTCAAGATGTTTGATAACTGCACATGTCAGACACTGGGAAGCAGGCGTTCAGAGTGGAAGGTTTGGAGCCAGCCTGGCAGATTACCTGACTCGCTCCCTCTGCCTCCGTATCTGTACAAGGAGCATGATACTGTCTGGACATCAAAGGACTGGGATTGGGATGAGCGTAAATCCCTGATACCTGTGAGCCCTTAGAACAGTGCCCATCACACGGTAAACTGACCGAGGTCACTGTTGCTGTTATTAGCTGAGACTGACCCTGTACTTCCAAGAAGGCTGGGCTCCATGAAGAAGGGGAACAGTGCCACCCACAGACAGCAGCTTTCTGTCTCAGGCCCGTGGCTCTGGAGCTGAAGGAGGAAGGTCAAATGTGACAGAAGTATAGCAGAGCATGCCACTCCCAAATAGACTGCTCTGGCATATTGATTACTTTGAATTGTAGGCCCTTGGAAAAAAGCAAATGCAGGGAGAGGCTTTCTCTGAACTCCCCTTATCTGCCTAAACACAGATTGTCCAAAAGGAACTCAGTTGTCATAAACCCCCTCCCTGGGAGTTTCACCAACCAGGAAAGATTGACTCTTGTTACAGGAGAGGAGACTAGAAATACACACCACACCCAGACAGACTTTGACAAACAAACACACCTCCTATCTATTATTTTCAGGGTCCGTCCATCTTTCCTAAAAGTCTCTGCTCACAGGCCTACCTCCCCCTCCCCATTCCCTATTTACAGTAGCATTTAATTCTGAACTCTAAGCCACCCCGGGTTGTCACAAATTTTTCCCTGTGTACCATGTACACGAGGTATGCATGTTAAGAGACTGTTTTTCTCTTGTTAATCTGTCTTTTATTACAGAGGTCTCAGCTAACAACACAGAAGGGTAGAGGGAATTTCCCCACCCCCATCCCCCATGACAGTACTTTAGTAAGAGGATTTCCAGAATCCTGCCACACTCAGTAGAAATACAGGGAATGTGACTCGGTGCTCACGGAGTCTCTAGAAGAAGCTGGGATCAGCACATCAGAACCCTTTCCCTGGGGGCCGCAGATCTCTGGGAAGCAGAAGTCCTGAAGTGCGTGGTGCAGGAAGGGGGTGGAGGCAGCATAGCATCTCACCACCAGGTCCTTTAACTAGTTGTGTGGCTTCTTTGTGAGCAAGACACATGCCCTTGTTGAGGGACGTGGGCCAAGATGCCTGAAATGTTCTCTCTACACAAGTGCTCAAATATTACAGCCACTCATTAACACAGCCTTAGCTCATGCTAGTCCTTCTGCTGGGAAATGCTCATTGGACTGCCTATAAAAATTCTATCTGTCCTCCAAAGCACAACTCAAAGGATGCCTTCTAATCACTTATCCAAAAATATTTGCTGAATCCCTACTTATTCAAATCAGACCTCTTCCACCAAGAGGAAGGAGTGCAGAGTCTAGTGTGGGCAACCAGGCAAATAAACATATTGAAATTCAGTGGGGGTGGGGGCAAGAATAGAGGCATTTACAAAGTACAGTGGGGTCTTCAAGCACCCACCCGCAGGGAAGTCAACTGACCACGATTAAGCAAATGAATAAAGTCATTTCAATTTGAGAATCGTGTTGTGAAGAAAATAAAGTCGGTTAATGTGCAAGAAAATGGCTGGAAGTTCCGGTGGTCAAGGAAGGCCTCTCTGAAGTGACACTGAGCCGAGATCGGGACAACGCGAAGAGCTCAGAATGGGGAGGGTTTGATGGAGCAGAGAGGGCAGAGGCCAGGAAAGTGGGAACAGTGGTGACGGTGGTGAGCAGGGTGCTTTTGTGGAACAGAATCCATGTGTCTGAGGAATAGAAAGAATGTCATGGGTCTGGAATGTAGTGAGAGGAGAGTGGTGGGAGGTGAGCCAAACTGTGATTAAAGCATAAATAAAATGTTATACTCTATATTTTTCACTCAATGTTATAAGGTAAGAATATTCTCAGTTGTGCAAAAGTATTTGTAAACATTTTTAATGACTGTATTAAAAAATCATTACATCAAAAAACAAAAAAGAAAGTTACCTTCTGCTAAAAAACAACATCATCTGAGGTCCCCTCCCGTTACGGAGATGCGCTCTGCTCAGTCTTGAGCAGAAGTCGGTGGGGAGAAGGGCAAAGAGCCATGGGAGCTGGGCGGCCCCCTCCTGCAGGTGTCATTGCCACTTCTGCACAAGGCTCAAAGTGACAACAGCCACACCGAGCAAACCCCGGAGACTGTTATGTCCAGTTCCCAACAGAGTGTCTGAGCCCAGATACTTCTCTCTCTTGAAAACTTCCCACCCCTCCTCTTGTGAGGTGGGTGCATTCCACTCTGACTCACAGCTTGAGGAGAAATAATGTAAATTCTCAGGTGTTCCCTGGTAAAGCCCACTTCCTGTCTCCTATTTGTAAGGAACAGGCAATGCTGAGGAGGCCGTCCTCCAGCAGGGTGCTCTCCTCTCTCCTCTCCTACTCTGGCTTTTGGCTTCTGGCTTCTCTGGACTCCACGGGCTCCCCTCTGCCAACATTTTAGTCCTCGGGGCTTGGGCTGCAGGGTCTGCGGAATTCTTGCCCATACTCGTGTATCCATTTGTTGGCCACTGGGGAGGACGAGGAGGAAGAAGAGCAGGTTCAGCCGCGCGGGCAGCAGCAGGGCTCGCTCAGGGGCGGGGTGAGGGCCTCCGTAATTCTGCGCCCCAGGCGACTCCCTCGCCGTGCCTGGCCCCCCGCCCTGGACTACAAGGTGGTGCTCCCAGCCCAGATAATTAGCCAAGAGGACAGTGTCCTCTGGAAAAAGTCCCTGAGAGGTCCTGTCTACTACAGACAGATTTTCAGTCCTGTGGGTACTAAGGTCACTCACCCTTCATTCCTGTGGCTCCTAAAAGCCCACCTTCCCCATGGTGCCACTCTGGAGTGAGGAGGAAAAGGGGTGGCTTCCCCTGGCAAGGTCCATCTCAGCATGAGAGTCCCTCTTCTGCTTCTTTAGAACTAAGTACTCATGGACACATATATGACAACATGCCCACTGTCTATCTCTTCAGGGTTTAACCATCTCCTCACAGGGAGGCACTAAATGGTAGAAGGGACGGTCTGATGGTTCTCTCATGGGAAGAGGGCTGGGTTATAGCACCACTTTCCTCCTCAGCTGTGCTCAGGAATCAAAGCTGGTCTAGCCAGGCCAGTGGACTTTTCTGTGTATCTGCTGCCCTTCATGGATTCCCAGTCTGCTGGGGTAACTAACCCAGTATCTGATGGCGATGTGGCACTGTAATGAAGCTTTGGAATGTAAGAGCTATGCTATTTTCCAACCACCCCCTATTTTACTCCACTCTAAACCACTCACCCCATTCTGATACCCTGAAAGGCAGGCCTTACCCCACTTATCTCCGACCAGGACAGGACAGCCAGCGTGAAGCGTGTCACCATCGCCTTCACCACTTCTGTGCAGGTTCCACCAAAACAGAGCTGCGTTCTGGAAACGAGAGGCCCACCCCAGGGAGGGCCAGCCCAGAATTCAGTCTGTTGGAAGCATAGGACTAAGGACAAATGCAAGCATGTCATTAAACAGGAAAACGTGCGTGCAGACTGGGGGCAGGGCATGCATAAAATGGCGAAGTTGCCATTCACTCATTCCTTCAGGCATATGCCAGTTATTGAGGACCTGCTCTGCTCCAGGCCCCGAGGAGGCAGAGACAAATCATGTCCAATTCTGCTCTCAGGAACTCACGGTCTTGTGGGAGAGACAGACAGAAAAACAGACCCAGACAAGACCATGTGGCAAGTGCTAGGACAAAGGTGACCCCGGAGTGTCATTGGGTCCCTGAAGAGAATCCCCCAAGAAAAACCACAAGATGGACAAATACTTCTCATACAACTAAGAACTTAATTTATTCCAACACTTGCCCTTCCTTAGGCACTTACTAGAGGGACCCCCAGGAAGCAGGCATTAATAGACTCCCCACGTTGCCCACAAGAGAGTTGAGGCTGAGGGTCTTTAAAAGTGCAACTAAGAAGGAACAAACTCAGGACGCAAACCCAGGTGTTCTGACTCCAAATCCTAAATGTTCTTTTCCCCCCTTTACAGCTTTTACCCCCAGTACAATGGTATAGACTTGGTTTGACGCCGGCCATCAGAAGCAGATGAAGCCCAAGGGAATGGAGAGCTTTTCGAGCTGTACTGACAGCCTCTGTATCCCCGCGCCTAGAAGGGCCCCACCCTGAGTGCTTGCAGGTATATCCTGCATTTATGGATTGATCACTCAGGCTGGGCCCAGCACAGTGCTGCCTGCCTTATGGGCATGGACTCACTTGCTTTCATTCATTCCTCAGCTAGGTACTCCCTGGCTGAAATTTGGAATCTAACTGAGATTCTAACTGAGCTGAAATTTGGGGGAAACGAAGTCTCTCATCACCTGGCCCTTACTTCACAGCTCTTCCTGCAATCCGTGTTCCTGCCTGTTAACTTCTCTGTCAGCCCCTGGAGGATGAGCCCTGCGCTTTCCTCTGCACCCTCAGTGCTTCCAGCCCTCTGTGTCTACTGAGCGGATGACTGAGGGGACCGGTTGCTCTAGGGGAGCCTAAGGTCACTAACACAGAGTTCTTACCTTTGAGGAGCTCTGCTGCAGTAGGGAAGGCAGACATGTAATCATCTGCTTGCAAATTAAGGGTAAATAAAAAACAGAGGCACAGGTAGCATGTGATCATCAATTCTGGGAATCAGGGAAAGAGCTCTTTTTACGCTTCCCCCAGGAATAAGCTTGCAAGCACAGACAACATGGACTCAGGGTGCTTGTTCCGCACTCTTCTGACCACCATCTGTTGGGAACAGACCGCCACTCACCTTGACCACAGGCATGCTGAAGTTGGCATAGATGAAGGCTGTGGCTCCTCCAGCTTCTACGGAGCTCAGCTGCAAGGCCGGAGGAAGAGCCAGAGTTGAAATAGCCTCTGACTGCCCTACTTGACATCTAGTGTCATTTTTGCATACATTCTCTCTGCGGTTCCCTATTTCAATTCTGGAAGAAATACTTATTGAAAGACAATCACCCAGTTAATTAAGGGGGCCTGCTCAATGGCAGCGGTGTGTGCCTGCAGGGCCACGGGAGGACAACATTCAGAAATTCCCCCTTTCTTTGTCCTTCTAGCTAACATCCTTTATTGAGGGCTACAATAGATTCAAACTCTGAGACCTTCAGGAAGAGGTACAGTTTATATATCACAACCCAAGACATACATATCCCTGAAATAAAATTTCATAAGATATATATATATATATTCTTATTACATGAGATACTCTTTATTATTTTCCATTTTACTTTATTCTATTCCAACTCAGGTTTCTTAAATGCTAACTAAATCCACTAAATTTCTTTCACATCCCACTAATGGATCATGACCTGTGGCTTGCAGAGCACTGTTTATACCACAAAGATTAGTTTTGAGAGTTGGGCATCATATGAACTAGTGACTGCATCTTTGGTGTGCTTCCCAGATCACTCCGTCCCTCTCCAGCACCCTCAGCTAAGGAGTTTCACCACTGGTACATTGGAGAATAATGGATGCATTCTCTCAGTATAAAGACTTTTTTCTGGTTGTCAAAGAAATACATTAACATTTTTTTAAAATACAGGAAAATACTTAAAAATAATACTATTCATCATCTTGCCATCCAGAGAAAAAAGCACTGTTGTAATTTACGTATTAATAGTTGACATTTATTGAGCACTGTCATTATAAGCGAGGCATTCTACTTAGTGGTGATTCAGAACCTGGAAATGGCAGGGGTGATTTTAAGCATTTCGTGGCTCTCCCAGAAGATATTTGGGAAGGGCACTGAAAGCAATAATTTGCTCCTCTGTATTGAAGTAACAAACAAACTGGATGATTCTGTTCTAACCCCTGTTGTCAATCACGGTGGTTGTAAACAAGATACAACGGAGAACCTGGACTTTCCTGCACTCCTTTTCCTGCGGTTTCACAGTACAGTGGGAAGGAATGGCTCATCCAATAAATTTAAAAGAGAATCTGATCTGTATGCTATGAAGCTCGTGAGCCAGACTGAGATAAGTGGGGTGGGAGTGGTGGGGAGGAAATCTTCCTTCTGCAAACCTTCCACTGTTTTGTACTGGGACTGATTTTATGTCCAGATTGAGTAGAAAATCACTGACTTGATTTCCAGTCAACAGTTTGTACATCTCAAAGATTATTTCCTCCCCATAAGATTACTTGTATGTCCTCCACAAACCTGAAAGCTTGTCTTTAGAAATGTGTATGCTGGTTTTTATCCCAACCTGAAGATGGAAGAACTGGGTGTAACCTAATGCTCCCTAGGTCCCACGAAGCCGATGCCCCTTTGTGGGTCCTATATTTGGTTTGTGGGATACAATAGAAACATACTGCATGAAACTTTACAGAGTGATATCCCTTTACAGTATCTCATCAGATCCTCAGGACAACCCTGTAAGGAGGTACAGGACAGGAAAACAAGCTCAAAGAATTGATGTGATTTGTGCTGAGGCCACATATTAAGTGGCAGCACCAGAATTAGGCCAAGTAACTGCAAACCCAAAGCACATCCCATTCCACTGTCTTAAATGCTTAGAACCCAGATGCACATTCACACATGCACACCCACATATGTGTGGTACACATGCACATACACACACACACACACATACTTGCATTTGCCATTTAGAACTGCTGGGCTCTTGCATCCATGCTACACTTACCATAGTAACTGGGCCTCCATTACCAGGGAACCAGATGTCAGAGATAATTAGGCAAGTGAACAGAGAAATACTGGCCCTTAAATGTCCTATTCTTTGGTTGATATCAATATCTTTCACTGCCTGTGACCTCCCCCAGGCTGAGTCATCAACCAGAGATGCAACCAGCTGCAGATCCAAGACATGCCTCCTGCCTGGAGACTCTGACGTCAGCTATCTCTCGGTGCCTGAGCAGAACATTAAGAATGACCACAAGAGGCCAGACACCATTGGAAGTGGCAGTCTTTCGGTTCTGCAGCAAGTATAAAACTGAGCCACATGAAGAAACACATTGGAAATTGCCCATCTTACAGACTATAGCATGCCAGTCTCTCTCCTTTCTTGGCTGCACCATGGAGATCAGATACAGCACTAAGAAGAGGGGATGCCAGCGTGGGGTGTCTCTACTCTAATAAGCCTGAAACCAGGACTTCATCTTCAGGTGTTATGCACAGCCCTTACAGAGCATGTTTATCTCTTCACTTACAGTGACACACCTCTTAGAATTTAAGTGGCAGATGACTGAAATCATGACTTACCCATGGAGAGGGAGGTAAACCCACACGATCTGAAGGGAGGGGAACAGGTGAGATCATAAAGACTGAGTCCTGTAGGATCAGTTCAGATATAAGGAGAGGCTGATTTATTTGTTATGGGGGTGTGATGTAGATTGTACTGAAGATTTTATGGGGAGATAAGGAAGAGAATGTTCACAGCACAAGAGAGCGCACATGGAACTCTGGTTTCCTCTGTAGGCATCTCTGCTTTTCCCTCTTGTAATTGTAGCTGCCTCGTTTCTCTTCCCTTTTTCCCACCACAGCTCCACAAGCTCCTCTATAGGTCCTGTCTTTTCAGATGATGCAGTCTATGAGAACTCGGGGGCTCTACATCCTCGTTCTGTGTTGATCAGGTCCCAGGATCTCTTGGCCTTCAATGTAACCCCACTTCCCATCCTGATCTCTGCCCACGACAAGGCCATATTTCCATCCACACACTGTAAACTCTTTGCAGGCAGGAACTCTGACTTGTATTTCTTTATATTTCCTATAGTTCTAACAAAAATGCTGTCTGAAATTCACAGAAGTCCTGGAGATTTTTGTGCTGTATCAGATGAAATCAATATCTAACATTGCTTTTTAAACCATAAAATAAAAGCAATATAAGTGGGCATTAATTAAGCAGCCTTGGTCCCTCCAAAGCAAGACTCACGTAGATCATAAATGTTGCAACTCGGTTCCCAGACTTCATTCTGTACAGTGGGCTGGTTGGAGACTGAAACAAACATAGAATGTTGTTATTTTATACAGATGATACCAGAGTAGCAGCCATCATAACACAGGAAGGAGAAAAATGGTGTTACAGATGGGGTCTAGCCTTGAGCTACACCTAGTTGAGTATGTGCCCATCTGTGCTGGCAGGTACTCAGTATACTTTTTGCTCTTTTACCAATTTATTAGCTGCTCATATGAGTGAACTGTATACTAATCAAACAGAATTGCTTATCAGTAGTGAAAGTACTCTATGAGTAGTTGATTGTACCTTCAGGTTCTTGGTGAAATAAAGAAACTAACATATAAACTATTACAGATGTTTCTGTAAGAACACCAAGTCATATGACTGGAGTTCCCAGTTGTTTTCTGAAGACACACACTCTTTGGTTAGATTAGGTTAGAACAGTGTAATTGAGATACAATTTATATACCATAAAATTCCCTCACTATGAGAGTATTTTTCAATGAGATTTAGTAAATTTTAACAATTGTGTAACCATTCCCACCATCCAATTTTAGAATGCTTGCATCCACTGAGAAAGTTCCCTCATGTCCATTTGCAGTCAAGCCCTGTCCCACCCCCTGCCCCAGGCAACCACTGATGTGCTTTCTGGCTCTCTAGTTTTGCCTTTTCTAAAAATGTCCTGCAAATAGAACCATAAAACATGTAGTCTTGTGTGACTGGCCTCTTTCGCTTAGCATAGTGTTTTTAAAGTTCATCTGTGTTGTTGGATGTATCAGTAGTTCATTCCTTTTTACTATCAAGTACTAGTCCATTGTATGAATAAAGAAAAATTTGCTTATCCATTTACCTGTTGGTGAGCATTTGAGTTGTTTCTCTTTCTTGGATACTACCAATAAATCTGCTATAAACATTCTTGTACTAATCTTTGTATGGACATATATTTCCTTTTCTTTTGGGTAAAATATCTAGGAATTAAATGGCTGGATCATATGTAGGTGTATATTTAACTTTTTAGAAACTGCTAAGCTATTTTTCAATGTGTCTGTACCATTCTGCATTCCCATCAGCAGTGTATGAAAGTTCCAGTCCCTCCATATCCTCCTCGACACCAGATATGATCTTTTTTATTTTAGCCATTCTAATGGAAGTGCAGTGCTATCTCATTTTAAGTTTTAATTTTCATTTCCCTCATGATATTGAGGATCTTTTTATATGCTTATTAGTTATTCATTTACCTTCTTTGGCAAAGTGCCAAATCAAATAATCTATTTTATTATTAACCAATCAAGATTAATTCAAATGACCATTAAAAAATTATCTTAAAAGAAATTATTTTGTTTGTCTTATAATATGGAGTTATGAGTTCTTTGTATATTTTGGATATAAGTCCTTTATCAGATACATGATTTACAAATTTTTTCTCCTAGTTGGTGGCTTGTCTTCATTTTCTAATTGTGTTTTTGAAAAGCAAATTATTTTAATTTTGGTGAGGTCCAATTTATCACTTTTATTTTCTTTTATGGATCATGTTTTGGTATCCTTTCTAAGATACCTTTGCCTAACCTGTGGTCACAAAGATTTCCTCTCTGTTTTCTTCTAGAAGTTTGATAGTTCTGCATATTTTCACATTGAGGTTTGTGATCCATTTAGACTTAATTCTGTATATAGTATGAGGTAAGGATCTAAAGTTTCTATTATTATTATTATTATTATTTTGCAGATATATATCCAATTGTTCCAGCAGCATTTGCTGAAAAGACTGTCTTTTCCACAGTGACTTTCTTTGGCATCTTGGTCAAAAAACAACTGACCATAAATGTGTGGTTTTATTTCTAGACTTTTTGTTCTGTTCTATTGACCTATTTATCTATCCTTACACCAGTACCACACAACCTTGATTACTGTAACTCTAAATTACATTTTGAAATCAGGCAGTGTATGTCCTCTAACTTTGTTCTTTTTTCAAAATTGTTTTGGCTGTCCTAGGTCCTTTGCATTTCTATTTCCATTTTAGTATCAGCTTATTAATTTCTATAAATAAGTCTCCCGTAACTTTGATAAAGATTGGGTTGAATCTATAGACCAATTTGGGGCACATCTTTTAATCTTCAAAAATTATTTGCTGAGTGCCTGATCAGCAAAGATGGGCAGCTGAGATCATGAAGAAAGGACAGTGACTGGAAGAAGGAAAATTTTCACTGGGAAGTCCCTGAGTGAAGCAGGACAGAAGACTCCCAAGAGGCTACATTCTTCTCTTCACCAGCAAAGTCTGGAGAGAAAGATGGTGGCACAAAAGAAAAAATCAGCCGCAATCAGCTTAAAGCCAAGACTTTCAGATTTTCCTGGAACAATAACTTTTGTTCTAAGATTTTACTTGGCATTCATCCCTGAGAGTCCTATAAGAATTCTGCCTTGGAGAAATAAATAATAACCTGGTTTCCTGCCCCAGGAGATTGGTCGTTGACCTGATAGTTACCGTAGCGTGGTCAAAGTGAGGCTCATAGTGCCCACCGATTCCATAGTTCACCACCTGGAGATACTCTGCATAGGGAGGTTGGACATCAAGGCCTGTGAGGGCAGCAATGCGATGGTCAAGGGTCACCAGCATTGGGTCAACGGTGTCCTTCAGCCAGGCACTAAAACACCACAGATTGGAGCATCAGTGATTTGAATGCCAGAAATGATTAAATATCTGTGAATGAATGAATTATGTCAACTGCCAGAAGGAAGGAAGGAAGGAGGGAAGTGAGGAAGGGGGGAAAGAAGGAGGGAAAAAGGAAGGAGGACAGAGAGATAAACACGAATGCCTATTACCTCCTCACTCATGGTAAGTCCACCCAGTCTGTTTTGTCCTCTGTCTCAACATCCACATATTCATTCACTCAACAGTCTTTGAAGCCTACTGTATGCCAGGCCCTGTGTTAGGTGCTGAGGCTACAGGGTGAAGGTGTACAGCACCAGGCACTGGGATAGAAAGAGGAATGACAAAAAGCCTACCTTTAAAACCACTGTGTTTTATAGACATCTCAACAGAGGGAGCTGGGTGCAATGGAAAAAGCTTTGGATTCAGACTAGTAAAACCAGTCCCTGATTCTCTGCGTGACCCAACATCAGGCACTTAGCCTTTAACCTCTCTAAGATTCAGTGTGTTCATCTATAAAATGGCCATCTACTTCAGACTTGTGAAGACTGCAGGAGATGATGCTTATGAAGATGCTTTGTAACCTATGTACTCCTGATTGCTGTAAAACACAGAAAAACCTCTGTTCTTCCATGGTATTCCAAGACAAACTGGAATAGGTCAAAGGCCAAAAAGCAAAGTCCAGCCCCTTTTCCTGAATGCCTTATTGAGGTTCTAGAGGATTTAGAATCAGAATGCAGGTCCCTGGGAGGTGAGGATGCGTTTCTCAAGCAAAAATATGAGCCTCCTCGGGAAGCCATGAGGGCTCAGAAGGGAAGAGCCTCAGCAGGCTAGGGGAGGATCATTTCCTGGCTTTTTAAATGATGGATTCATTTGTTCACACTCATGAAAAGCATGCATGCAAAGTGCTATGCTACGTGCTCTCAGGTTTACAGAGATACCCAGGACAAGGTTCTGCGTTCAAAGAGCTCAAGAGAGAAGACACAGGAATATAACTTGAGTACAAACCAAGGTAGAATAAAAAATAAGAAAAACCTTTTCAGGTAAAGTGCTGGGGAGCAGGAGGTCAAATTTTGAAGGGTGCATAAAATTTCAATAGAGAAGACATAGGGGGTTCCAGCATAAGTACAGACATGGAGTGTGACAATACAATGTATGTACAAATGTGAAAGCATCTGGTCTAGGAAGGAGGTAATAGGAGATGAGCCTAGATAAGTAGCTTCATGTTGCAGAAAGCAGAGGACACCACCGTGGGAAAGCTGGTCTGTGTGGATCCATGGGCAGGAAAATGATTTGGTGATTAGGAGCTCACAGGTGACCTTCAAGTGACCACTTCCAGTGAAGTTGTGAGGACAGAACCAAAATTCAAAGGGTGTGGAGTGATGAGAAGGAAGAAAGAGGAGGTAATGAGATCTTAGTTTCTTTACCTGAAAACTAAAGAGAGTACCACCTACCCTCCTAAAAACAATAAATCTAAACAGAAGGTTGGATTTTTTCTTTGACACTACAATGTCAGAAAGATAGAAAAGCAATGAAGCTGAGGTCATATGGACCTTCCAGGGATTAGAGAGCAATTTCTAATGTGAAAGGTCCCTAAATGTACCAGCCCAGTAAGCTAAGCTGAAAGATTCTGACTCAAAGCTTTCATTACTCACCTCATATCCCAGACAACAAAAACCATCCACCCATCTGGAGGTCTGGCCTCTCCCCAAGGCTGCCTGCGTCACTGTCTCCCACGGCCCTGCCCGGTGGAGACGCGTTCTTTTGCTGTGTCATCAGTCCTGTCCTTACAGCACAAATCAAGGGCTGCAGTGGGATGGCCTGGCTCGAGGGGAGAGGACAAAGCTGGGCTCTCACAGCCAAATGTGTCCCTCTGGAGAAGCCATCAGGTTCAGAGATTCTGGTCATCTTTCTCGCCTAAATGTTGGCAAGTCATGCTTTGAATATGACTCAGGAGGTGGGAATGGAATCTTACAAAGTCAAATTCCAAGTGGGGATGGGACCATATTCTCTGGATAAGCAGTTCTGAAAAAGCACAACCACACACTTACGGTTTAGGGCACAAGAGCTTCACCAAGCCTTTCCCTAATGGCCTCAGCTAAGTCCTCAGACTGTATCACAACCTGGGAAAGGCCCTTGGGTGAGGGGAGTGGAAATTTCTCCCTCTCAACAAGAATGTGCAGATAAAAATGTGAACCATGGGTTCCCCAGTGGCATCTCTGATGGCATCTTCAGTCAGCTGTGCCGTGGGCCTGAGGGTGGCCAGCAGGTATGACTGGAGTCCCTTCCAAGGAAGGACAAGGACCCCTCTTACCTTTTGCTGATGCGGTACTCCACTGGCAACTGCTTTTCACCTGATGCCACCACGGATCTCTGAAGCTGACACGAAGGATATAAGAAAAAATCCACGTGGTTACAATGTGAAGGGCAGGGCTCTGTCATTCCCATAGACTCGCCCCTCTCTTATACACAAACCTAACAACCGCCATTTCCTCCCTAGAGATTGTGCACATGCTACTAATTTAGTGATTGCGGTCCATCTTAAAAATAAAAATAATAACTGACCCAAAAAATCTCCGGGTTGAAAATAACTGTTAGCATCATTTCTGGTAGACAGCACTAAATAAACTCTTGTTGAATGGAAGTAAAGTGATATTTGAACCCCTGCAAGACGGCGGGTTCTGTAAGAGCATGAGCTATTTCTCATTCATCTTTGTAGCCCAGTGGCACAGGGCCTGGCCTATGGTAAGCACTTACTGTTTGTCAATTAAACAAACACCTCCAGTGACAGGAAACTCCATCCTCGGAGGCAGTCCACTCCTCTGATGAATTCTGACAAAAGCCCTTCCTTACAGAGAATAAAAATCTGTTTTGCTGCAACTGCATTGATTGTGGGGGGAAGAAACCACCCAACAGGTTTGAACTCATTAATTTAACTGAGTATCTATATTTTTGTTCTGAATGTCTGGATATAAATTTTAAATTACTTTTAAATGGAGTGGCTTCTAATTGCAAAAATTAAAAAAGAAGTGGTTCAATTGCACTGGATCAGGGACAGAAAGAGAAATATTGTTTATTTACATAAGGATGTGTCTACTTCTGCACCTATCATCAGAATGTCAGCCCCATGAGGGCAAGGACTGGGTCTTCTGTCACTGCTGTATCCCCAGGGTCCACAGAAGGCCTGGCAGGGTGCAGGTGCTCAATATTGGTGAAATGAACAAGTGAATGAATGAACTAGAGATCTGGGCTTAAAGACCCAGCTCTGGCTCTTCACATGCAGTCAAAGCAGAGGACAGGGCGATGAACTGCACAAGACAGACACCCTTTTACTTCCTGGAGGCTTTTCTAATATTGCTCCTGCTGCTAAACCAGGTAGACAACCTTGGAAAAACCTCTTCCCTTCCTTGGACCCATTTCCCAGCTGTAAAATGTGGCATATGAGCAACACATCTTGGCAGTTACTCTCAGCCCAGTTGGGGAGACAGGATGCTAACCCATGAAGCTGTTCTTCACACCAAACAACATGTGAATGGCAGAATAAATGAAAAAACTAAGTACCAAACAACTGGTGACAAAGGCTTTGATTTGAGTTCAGAGACGGGAGAAGTTACTGTATGTGGCCCCCAAAAGTGCTCTGAGAAAAATATTCCTACTGAACGAACCAATGAAAATGAGGTGGGGGGCCAAGGGAGGTGTGTAGATCCCACTGTCTTCAAAGATGAGTAGGATGTGGATAGAGGGAGAAGAGACAAAGAGAGCAATTGCAACAGGGACCATCCGTAGGCAGCAGATAAACTGGACACAAGCCACGGAGGCATCGTGCTCTGTTTCCAGGGGGCAGGCACCACCGCATGAGCCGGGCTGATTCCTGGCCAAGCCAAAGACCAGGCAGAACCAGCGTCCTCCATGGGATGCTTCTGGGAGAAGGGAGTGCAGAGAGGTCTGTGCATACCGGATGGATGACGTGGTCATGAAGGATTAAGCGAACATCTCTGGGTGGGCTGTCTGTCCTGCTACCATGGTAACAGAAGCTCCTGACTTGTTACAATCATTCCAATTCACCAGTGCAGCTTAATTTTCTCAAAAATTTTCTGTACAAAGATGCTAGACTTCACTGAAGGGACTTTTTGGATGAAATGATTATTGCTACTCTTCTCCCTCCAATCTAGGTCTGCTGTCAGGGTCTCCCTTAAAATCTGAAGATCTGATCAAACCAATCTCCTGTTTAAAACCACCAAACAGCTCTCCCCTGCCTGCGGGACAACATCTAAACTCCCAGTTTGGTATTTATAGCCCTTCGCGGTGGTGTCTCACCAAGTAGCCCCACCCCCTCCCACCTCCCACCCATCCCTGGCACACTTCAGCTACTGAGCTTCTCCTCACCCTGTTCTCTGAGTACAGTGCACACCAGGTCCTTGCTCATATCGCCCCGTCTTCCTGAAATGCCCTCTGCCACCTCACTGCTCCGACAAATTAAACATCCACAGGGAAGCTGTTTCTTCCTCTCCTCCCATCTGCTCTTTACCCGCTGCCTTTCCCTCAGGGGAAGATTCGCTTGTTTATGCTGCCAGCGTGGGGCGCCCTACTGCAGCACCTATCCCAGTGCATTGCAAGTATGTGCCCTTCCCGTCAGCAGTAGGCTCCCAGTGGGAAAGGGCAGTACTTCATCTCTTTGTGAAAGCCCAGTGCCCAGTACAGTGTCTGGCATACCGCAGGCTCAGCTCTGGTGATGAAGGACCAAATGGCTGCCCAGACAAACAGCGCACCAGTAAGGGCACGATGACATATGTAATTCTGTAATTCTGCACACATGAAGTCTTAATGTGCCATTTGTAAAGGGGCAATATGCTTCTAGTGATGAGGTTGACTGTGCTATTTTTCTAAATATTAGCTGTACTTCCTGGGGATGGATTCAATGTCCCCTCCCCATTGACATCAAGCTTGGCACCACAACTCGCAGTGCCTCCCCTGTGGGAGAATCTGACATACTATCCCTGTTGACAACGGTGCCTGCACACCTCGCCTTAATCAATGGAATGCGGACAGAAGTAATGTCTGGCCTTTCCTAGCGGGCGCTTTAAGACTAGTTTGCCCTCTTTGTCTACTTCCTCTCCCATGGGACCCACACTCTGCTCTGTCAGGCTGGGTCCCACAGTGAAAACAGTGTGGGGCAGAGCTGTAGCCAGCCTGAGACAGACAGGGAAAGTGAGCAAGAAACCTTTACTGTCGTCATCCCTGTGATTTGGGGTCTGCTTATTACTGAACCTAACAGCCTAAGTTCACTGATATGAGAAGGTACACTAATAGCAGCAATCAATGTACCCCTAAATTCCAGTGCCGGCTCTAGTGTGACCTAAGGCCCTCCCCCTGTCTGGGCCTCAGTTTCCTCTAACAAAATAATGGAAGTTAACTAGATAATCTTTCTACTCTGTAGTTCTGTAAATGAATACAATGCTCTCACTCCTTGCCCCTATCATTTCCCCCTCATCCACCTATCATATGGAATGACTGACATTTTAGGGGGGTTCCTTTCCATTTTCTAAGTTAAGTGTACATACAGTGATATGCACAGATCTCAAGTATAGTAGTTGCTGAGTTATAACAAATGCATAGAGCCATGTACTCTGCATCCCTACCGACACTGGGAGGACATTTTCAACACTCAAGAAATCCTCTGCACCCTTTCCCAACCAAACCCCTCCCTCCAGAAGCAACCACTGTTGTGATTGATTAGTTTGGTATTCTGAGCTCCTGGGCTGACGAGGTGTCTAGTTCTTCAGGCTGCCTGGTCTCACATTCCTCAACTCCAGGCATGTGAGACACAAAGGGAAGTTCTTGGCAGGCTTTGGAGGCACTCACCCACGGTTCTGCAAGTCCTCTAATTTTCTGAGCCTCCAAGTCACTGACAAAGTCATGGTAGAGAACAACATAGGGCTCCAGGTGAATGACTTCCTTCCGGACAGGCTGAAGCAGCAGGTAGGGGCTGGAATTGGTCTCATAGGAGCAGTAGAGGCTAGGAATCTGGTAGAGAGTGGGCTGGAAGGAAAGCCTGAAATCAGCATAAGAGAAGAAGTGGGTAGGACTGGAAGGTAATTTAGGGGAATTAGGGCCTTAAACCTGGAATGCAGGAGATTCAGAATGTGGCCACTCTGATGCCCAAGTGAGCTTTATTTTTTTAATGTATCGGCCTTTCCCCCTTAAATTGTCCAAATTCTATCTTCTCTCTCTCTAGCCAAGCCTGTCTGCCCTTTCTCTTCCCAAGGAATCCTACCTGGGAACCCAGGGTCTGGCATAACCCCTCGTAGGTGTCTCTGGTCTGCAGGTGGGGTACATTGGGCCTCTGGATGACAGTCTCAGCTACTGCCTGATTGGCGTGCTCTGCCAAGAGCTTTTCATACTTCAAGACATTCCTGGCCATCCTCTTATTATCTGGGCCTGGGAGGAATCAGAGCGCAGATAGTACAGATTAACAACTCTGGTCCAGGGAGTACTGCCAAAGCTTCCTGCACCTTCACTGTCACCCACACTGGCAACTGGACACCCTGAGTAACTCCTTGTGTCCATGTACAGGAAGACATAAGGCCCTCAGTCCCAGAAGAGTATCTGGTATTTAAAAAGACGGAGTTGGGCTGGTAGATCTGAAGGTACAAAGGACTTGGGGAAGGAAAATGGCACGTAACACTCTTAGACCAAAGGATCATGAGGATGATGGCTCTAGGATAGTGTGATGGTTAAGTTTCATGAAGAGGGAAGAAGCTTCATTCTTTCACTCATTTATTCACCCATTTACCCATCCATCCATTCAATAAATCTTTAGTAGCATCTGACATACCAGATACTGTGCTAGAGGCTAACCTCCCAGAATTTAGCATGTAACTGGAAAAAGTCAAATTAAATAACTACTTACAATGAAACACAAGTAAGTACTATGAAAGAAAAGTCCAGAGAGCCAAAGCCTATAGCAAACAGACCCAGCCTGGAGAGCTGGTAGCTACTTCATTCCCAACTCCACTGGATCCTTTAAAATTCCTAACTGGCTTAGACACTGAGCAGTGCAGTGTAGAACAAAAGGGTTCTAGGCTGTGGTTCTATTCTGGTTTCCCATAGGGGTCTCTTATCTTGTTTGTGCCCACCTGCTTGTGTCCATTTTGGCTGCAAGATATTCCGTGGATTGGCAGCTACCCATTCCCAGCCAGCCTTTGCACATGATTTTTAGTGCCTCTCAGAAGGGGTTGCTGAATTATTCTAATGCTCCGAAAGCATCTTTCTCTGAGGAGCTCAGTGTGCTTCTAACCAACACCACCACAGAAATTATCATCGCTTTTCAACAAGAGGAGAAATAAAGGATGAGAGAATGAATGTGATGAGCCCAAAATGCCAAGGAAAATACTGCAAAGCCAGAAACAGAGCCAGGAGTCTCCATTTGCTGTGTCCTACTAGTCCACCAGCTGTAAGAGTACACGAATTGGGTTCTCTGGGAGAGGCAGAGATTTTAACAGATCAAACATAAAGAAATAATGGGGGGTTGAGGTTTTGTTTTACCTGTACTATATTGCCTACTTTACCAGACCATATAGCTACTTCCTTATTCAACTGTTTACCAGATTATCTCAATGGAATAAACATTACTAAATGGATTCATTAAAATGTGATAGATACTTACAATTATTAAGTCCTACATGAAATACTGAAAATGTTAAAACATAAGAATGATTTTTTTACTTTAGTATCTAAATATCTTATTTAAGGAAAACCGGGAAGCCATCAACCATCAACATTTTAAGCAAAAGTACACAAGCAGAGAACTAAGCTGGGAAGTCTCCCTCCTGTGCAACTCTGGGGAGGGTCAGAGCTGAATTCCCTGCTAACTGGGCAGGACGCTTCATAGCAAAGTGAGCTCTGTTGAAAGGGAAGAACTGATATCTCTTTGTGAGCAGCCACACTGAATAATCCTGCTCAGTCCCTCACCTTCTTCATACACAGCTCTCATTGATTTTATTCATTCCCAAGTCTGCTCTAAAAACCTGGGGTTTTAAATGTTTCCAAAGAAACTGGCTCCTAATCCTGGACTTGTTCCCCACTAAAGCAACACTACTATGTGACTGGTTGGGGGTGGAGGAGGAAAGGCACAGGCTGATACCTGCTTTTTCAGCATTTTCCAATGAACTGAAAAATTTACCCCTGACACATTGACCAGTATATAAGTAAGATTCCATCCAAAATTAGAAATAGGCCTTGGATTATAAAAATTAGAAAAATAAAAATAGATAGCTGTATTTCACTTGTGGGAATTAAAGGCCAGGAGCAGAAGGGACTTCCCAGGAAATCAGAGCTCTGGTTTATCTTTTATTGTTACGTACTGTAGAGAAGAAACTCTCGGGAGAGGCTGAGAGCACACGAAACATTTCCCGCCTACAAAAAATAAAAAGAGAGGAAAGGAAAAGAGTTAACTGCAGTGAAGATATCTCCTCTAACCAAATTATCAAATGAATTTTTTATAGAACTATAAAATACCCTTACCGCAAGCAGATAATGAGTCATTGACACGAGCAATGAACTAGAAGTGAAGAGGTTCTCTGTCCTAATTCAGGATTTGCAGCCCTAATGCAAATTAGGTCTCCTGAGATTCCTAATTTACAAATGATTTATTACCACCCTTACCAGGGAAGGTAGAAAAATAAATGAAAATAAACTTTCTTAAAGTGCCCTCAAATTTTAAAGCATGCAAAACCGTGTAACTGCACTGTGCTGTTGTTTTGGTATATTTTAATATTAAACTTAATAATGCATTTGTTATTCAGCTTAAAATATTAATAAATATTTTATATATTGAACTATAAAAACCCTAGAAAGAATGTAATTTGTTCTCCAGGCTCAGTACTTCCTAGAGTCTACAAAGTTAATGGGAGGGGCGAGGGGAGTGCCAACCCTGGAACACTTGCCCTGCCGAGTAGTGAGCTCTCCCTGCAGACATTCAACCTCAGGCTACACACGGTCAAAAGTAAAGGGGCTTTGTGGACTAACCTGGGGGACAGGAGCCAGGGCAGGTGGGCTTCGCTCCCGCTCTGGGTACCATGGAACAACGATGAACTGATACAACTGTATTTCCTTCTGATTGTTTGGTTTTTGCATGTTAAAAACTTCATTTTTAATGATAAAAAACAATAATAAGCACACTATAAAACATATGAGAAATAGGAAAAATCATGCTCCACTGAAACCCAGGTACTCAAGTGCTTTGGCTAATATGCACTGTTAACACAGTTATAATGTATATATTGTATACATTTTTATATCCTATTTCCCTCTACATTGTTATCAGGGGTACTTTTAATATCATTGCATAGTCTTCAGAGATGGTATTTTTAATTATTAATTTTAATTGTGGTAAAAAATACAAAATATAAATTTACCATCATAACCATTTTTAAGTGTACAGTTCAGTAACATTAAATATATTCACATTGTTGTACAACCAATCTCTGTATTTTTTCATCTTGCAATACAGAAACTCTGTATCCTTTAAACAACTCCCAATTTCCTCCTCCCTTCAGTCCCTGGTAACTGTCATTCTACTTTGTCTTTATGAATTTCACTACTCTAGATATAAGTGGAATCCTGCAGTATTTGTCTTTTTGTGACTGGCTTATTCCATTCAGCATAGTGTTCTCAAGATTATATATGTTGTCCTGTGTCAGAATTTCCTTCTTTTTTGAGGCTGAATACTATCCCATTGTATGTATATACCACTTTTGTTTACCCATTCTTCTGTTGATAGACACGGGTTGCTTCTACCTCTTGGTTATTGTGAATTGTGCTATGAATGTGGATGTGTAAGAGAGATAGCGTTTTTAATGGCTGCATTCCATCTAGAAGCTGTAACACAGACGACCTAATCATTCCACTATTTTTGGATATATAGTTTCTCATTACTTAATATCATGAATTATTCTGTTCTATACTTAACAGAGGGATAATTAAGTAATTTATTGATACAGTATCAGATGTTAACTCAGCGTTGTAGTTTTTCAAACTTTGGAATGAAGAGAACTAAAATACAATTTTACATATTGTTTAAAACTCAAGGACTTAATCATGAGATAAAATTATATTTTATCAAGAACAAAGAGTTACTTTTGAGATCTCAGTTAAAATTTCTTTGGAAATGTGTACACTAAATAATGTTAAGTGAAAAAGGGGAACATAACACTGTAGTGTATAGTAATAGCTTACATTTATTGAGTGCATATATGTTCTGAATTATGTTAAAGATTTTACATGTATTAGCTCATTTAATTCTCACAATACTTTGAGGTGAGCATTGAAGGGTAGAATATGTCCCTTTGGCCTAAGGATTATTTTGAGATAATCATTCTGAGAAACAACAAACACAGGAGTTCTGGAAAGTAGGGTAGAAGTTACCCTTTTTTAAGCAAAATTTACATGTAAAAAGGAAATCTCCATTTGTAAGGGTGTCTCCCTCTGTGTACTTGAAAGAGAAGGCTGACTCTAATCAGAAGAGAATCTTATGGATAGAGAAGGAACCCACTTAAATCTGCATAACAATCTTACCCTGTTTGCTTTGCCTAGTGACCTCCCCTAACTAGGCTCTCCCCCTGCCCCCGCCCCCATCTCTCTTTCTTTTTTGTCTTTAGCTGAAGATGGTATTTAAGTTGGTGGCTTAGGTCACCTCAGAGTGTTACTCATTCCCTGGTACTGCCATGTATACATGAGGCATACATGTTAATAAACTCTGTTTTTCCTCTTGTTCATCTGTCTTTTATTACAGAGAGTTCTCAGCCAAGAACTCAAAAGGTTAGAGGGAAAATTACTCCCTCTCCACTGAGCACCATTATTATTTCCCTTTTTAAGATAAGAAAATTGAGGTTAAGTAAATTGCCCAAGTTTTCATGGAATTGGAACCCATGTCTGTCTGACTTTGGAGCCTACAGTTTAATTATCACACTCCGCTGTCTCACATTAGCAGTTACTGTAATAATTTTTTGCTAAAATATATCATGAAAGATTGTATAACATATAGTATTATAATATGATATTATCTATTATATTTTTCATGGTATATCTTCATATATATATATATATATATATATATA